TAAAGCACCACATCAGACGCCGGGTGAGCCCAGGACACCCTGAAGCTGTTCGTGGAGATGTCACTGCTCCTCAGGTCCACTGGGTCTGGGACGGTTTCTAAACAAACACCAACAATTCTGGTTAAAAGCATTTCAGAAATACTTGTGAATATAACAATCTCCTTTTACAATGATTATAGTTTCTTACTTGTGGTGAAGCTGTCTGTCACAACCTCGGCTTGTCCTTCGTCATAGACGGCAAACACACCAACAGTGTACTCTGTCAGTGATGTCAGGTTTTTCAGCAGCCAGGCTGTCACACGGCCAACATCCACCTGAAGACACAGGACCAAAGCCCAATGACATTTGTTGCTAAGCGACTCGGTTTGTTTGTCATGTGCACAGATGCCGGACCAATGATCAGGCTCTGCTGGAATTGTTAAACTTCATCGAGGAACAACAGTTTCCGAACACGTAACTACTTCCTCTCTGACAAGTTTGGGCTAGCCTGCTGACCTGTGTCCTCCAGGGTTCCCTCACCTCATTGGTCTGGACTCCATTGGTTTTGACGTACATGATGCGGTACCCTTTAACCTTCCTGGAGGCGGAGTCCCATGTGATCCGGGCAGAGCTGTGATCCACCTCAGAGAAACGAAGGTTCCTCGCTGGGATCAGCGGTACTGAGGGACAGAAAGCAAACCATAAACAACATCTGGAAAGAAACGGCTGTGAGCTGACTATAAATTCCTCTCTCTATGGAGGATGGAATCAGCCAAAATATATATTAATCAGTTGATTAAGTATGATTACTGGACATATAATGCAATATTATTATTCTTTATTTATACCAATGAATTAACCTGTTTATTTACCTTCACTAATTTATTTATTTTTTAACTTCCTGCATTGACTTTGGGAGACTGGCAGCTTTGTGCCTCCATACTACTTTATTAAATGTGCCTATCAGAAAATGTTCCAAAACTTTAAATCATATAAATTGCCCAGTTGCTCATATTAGCATAGTTATAATCCAACACTAAGGAAGCGTGTGTGGCCTCGGAAATGGAATATTTTTCAAACTGAACGTATACGTCGCAAAAAGGCGAAGAAAGAACGAAAGAACAAAACAGCCGAGCCTTCACGAGAAGCCTGAAATCGTGACCCCTGATAACAGCAGGTCTATCTAATTCACACTCGCACTCGTGGGGATTTGTACAAGGGTTATTGGACTCCACTACTTTTAATTATAAAGTGGACAGAAGCTCATTACATCACCGCACTCCCTCAGGCTCTGCCTAAACGTCCTCTCTTTCTCATTTCTTCTCGCCGTCTCGGAGGTCTAGAAAAATCCCCCCCTGCCCTCACTTTAAAAATTCAGCCGCAGAATCTGATTCTCTCCGAGCTTTGGAACTTTTACATTTAGAATCACTGATCTGTTTCCTTCAAAAGAAAAGGAAAAT